AGACGGACGAGCGAGTCCGCCGTCGGGCCGTGACGCAAATCTAATTTTCGCTGATCGCCGCAAAGCGAGCGCGTTGGGCCGTGATCGTCCGCGATGGGCCCGTCCGATTAAACGGCGGAGGGCCCGCGCGTAACTCAGCTTCCGCCGCGACAAAAACTAGTGTTTTCAATGGCTCTCTCTCTCTCTCTCTCTCTCTCTCGTGCGCGAGAGAGTCACCTCGATAACGACGTGACATCCACGCCGTCGCTCGGCGACTCGCCCGCTTCTCCGTTGGAACGACGCTGAATAACGCACACGGTTGTTCCAGTTGCGCGAGGTATCGACATAAAAGAGAGCGCGTTTGTCTCTGGTCGCACTTTTGTACTTATAAATAAACGCTTTCTGCTGCTCTCTGCGTCGTCGCTTTCTGCGCGTAACGCGAGTCTGCTCAATGAGTCACACCGGCGAGGCGTCGCGCGGCGGCTGCGCGGAGATTCCGCGGACGCGACGCCGCGCGTTTCGGTGAAGTTCTCTCTTTCTTTTCTCGCCGCATGGCATTTGCATACGTGCGTACGTGCGTGCGTGCGTGCGTGCACGGCAATTCCCGCTTGGTTCGGACGAGAAACCTCGCAGCGTGCGAAGCGCACGTCTCAGGCCGCTAATTCGAGCGGAGAAAGGCACGAGAGGAACGGACGAGGACGAGCGCGAGGAACGTGAGTCACGCGGCGCGTGCGTTTCGCATTGTGTCCCCGTTACCGGGGACTGTTCTTGTTCCCCGCGCCTGTCGTGCAGCAGCCGGTGGTATCCTCGCCAATTTTAAATCGGGAAATATCGCGGGCGAGCGGGGTCGCTAATTCCGCCGCGGGCGCGATCGCAAACGAGCGCGAAAGTATCGCGATAGGATTTGAATTGATTCTGTCGTGTTGAGGTAAACGTGTCCCCAATGGTCGAACACGTCCCAGCATCCGAGCACTTTGAAAAAGAATATTTACTATTTTAACAATAATGAATAAAAGTCACAATTGTTGTAAGAAAAAAACTTCAATATTTGACAATTGGTTTGGACAAAAAAATATATCCAATTTGATACTCTTGTATCGAAGTAAAAATTAATTAAACAAGTACGCGTCTATAGTTTGGTGAAATAACGGTAAAATAATCTATCGTTGGTAAATTCATTAAGAGATAGCATCTGTATTTATATTATCTACCGTTAGCACGTATTAATTTTCTAAGTGCGGTCAGGCACTGGGGCAAATTATATCTGAACATTGTACCATAACCATATTCAACTGTCTGGTTATTGCTACATTAATGCGCTTCATTACTTGTGTAAATATTTCATTGAAAATAGATATATATACTGGTTTGAATCCACCCAAGGGAATCTTACGTTTTCGAATAAATGCAAATATTTATATCAGAACCATTTTTAATATTATATATTGTATTTTTGGTGACGACCTACGCCTAAACGTCCGATCACGAGGATATTCACCTTAATGGATGCGCAAGAAATTCAGCGCCCATGCATATTGATACGATCGCGGGGATACGTGAGTTGTTTGTGTAATTTTGTAGGACGCGTGCAGATGCATTATCTACACGTGTTCCAATTAATATTCAAAAGCGAACGGAGAGGCGACAGACAAACCTCAAGCGCGTGCGTGTACGTGTAAACCGACGCCACGCCAGGACGATATTTGCGCGAATCCGCATCTCCGATTGCGATGGTAACGGTGAGCCTATGCGGATAACTACGGATAAACGCCGTGGTCGCGTATATGTGTGTGTGTGTGCCCTCGGTGTCTCGACATGTCATCGCGAAATTCCTCGGCTGAATTATTATACGCGATAAATCGCGTAACGTGTCGCGCCCGCGCGCGCGCAAAGGAACGCTTAATAAAACGCGCCGATTCGCCTCATTTGTTTCCACGTGGTCTTAGGTCGTTACACCGCGGCTTATCTCGTCACCAACGATATCGCCCGGGAGTAGGCGTGAATGCACACAATAACGAGAGAGAGAGAGAGAGAGAGAGGAAGATGAGTGTCTCCGACTACAAAAGAGAGAGGCATGACGCATCATCACGCTGCCGTTATTCGAAGGAGAGAAAAGAAAACCAATAACGAATCCCGCGACACATTTCGCTACTTCTCTCATCAGACTTGAATATTCATCATGGAGGGGGCGAGAGATTCCGCCGTGGAAAATAAACGAGGTGGTGGTGGCTACATACACACGCGGTAGCTCGATAGCGCGTCGCTTGTTTCTTCGCGTATCGTGATTGAGAGACTCTCCATTCCTCAAAGAGGAGGAAAAAAGCACGACCGTGGTTTTATCACTCGAAGAGCGACACGGAATAGAAAAAGGAGAGAGAGAGAGAGAGAAAGAGAAAGAGAGGAGGGTAAAGACGAGGCGAGATGAGATGAGCTAGACAACACGACGACGATAACAATGCGGGGAAATCCTGGAAAGATTGAGAAAATCGCCATTCACGCTCTGATCAAAAGAGCCTTTAAGCGCGCCGTGAGTAGACTACACTACTACCCGGTTACTATTTTCCGCCGGCACTCTTTCATCCGGCACGGGACGAAAATACACACGCCGGCACCACGCCCGGTGCCAGCAGAGCAGACGCCGCTGAAATAAGACGCCGGCTGCGCGGAAAAGTTTCGGAAAAGAAAAAAAAAGAGTAGCGCGCGCGCGCGCGTCGCCGAAACGAGAGACACACTAGTCTCGTGCACTACTTCCGGGCTCCTCTCGCAACCCGAACCCTCCTCCCTGTTCTCTGCTCCGCTTTTGAAAGGAGATTTCCACGCGAGGCGCGCAACCGGCCGCTAACAAAGCACCGTTGGACGAGAGTGACGCCGTGTCCCGTAAAGTTAATCAGCCCGCTCCCTGCTCTTCCTCGTTTTTTCTTTTTCTTTTTTCTCCTCGCTTTTCCATCGTCGCGTAATCGTCGCGCCGGCAGTAGAGGAAAAATAACATCGATGGAGATGAAAAAGGAAGAGGAAAAATGAAAGAGGGCTCTTGAAATGTAGAAATTTTACGCCCGAAGCTACGCCACGGATATTTTGCCGGCCATCGTCGACGCGAGAGATTAAAACGCGCGACTCATATTTCTCCGCGTAAAAAAACAATCTCTCGATCAAAACGATCGATTCTCTCGATCGAGCGCTCTCGGGGACGAGGTGTGCGCGAGTGTCCTCCTCTCGCCTTCGTTTCCCAGTGATCCACGAATTCACCGGCGCCGGCGGAAATCTCGGAGAGCCGCACTCTCGCCGCCGTCTCTCCACCGTCTCTCCGCCGTCTCTCCGCCGTCTCTCCGCCCCGCCGCGCCGCGCCGCGAGCGAGCGTATTACGGCGTGACGCGTGTCGCTCCGGATACAAAGTGGAGCAGCGTAGCGCACGGTATTCCGCGGCGTGTTAATACGTGTTAACGTATGTACTACGGTACGGAAAACCACGGGAGCCCCGTACGCGCGCATGTTGACCCGATGCGGCCGCCGTCGCGCGTTCGTTCACTCTTTATAAATAGCAGCTTTAAATTCTGTCGCGGCACGGGCGTGGCAGAGAGGCCGAGGGGATCTACGATGATCCTAGTCACGAGATGCATACATCATTCATCGCAGCCTGCTCGTTCCGTCCTCTCGCGCGCCGTCGCCGCCGCCGCCGCTGATTCCAGCACGCCTTCGTCCACTTTCGTCTTGTTATCTCACATAACATTTTATCGCGCCCGTTCGAGTGTCCGCGTCCACCATTGAGTGCCATAATGGCGTCGCGCGCGCGACTTTTCGGAGCTCGGAAGAGATTGGTGAGAGAGCAGGATAGCCTCGCGGGCTTCTTCCCTTCATTCGTCGAGAGAAACATTCTCGGATCTTCGCTTTCGTGACGACTGAATAGTAAACGAATCATAATTCTGAATAATTATTTTTCATTTTCCTTGAGCTCTATAAGATTCTTAATGTGAGTCCTGTATTTTCTGTTCGCCTCCTCTTGAATCCGGATCTCAAAAAGGACACTTTACACCCGAGAAAAGAGTATTCCATTTAAATTAATTAATTAAAGCGATCTTTCCCGTAGTCTCATATTCTAAGCGAAGCCTTTTATAGGAAAAGGATCTCTCTTTCGATCAAGCGATTAAAGTGAACCATTCGTCTAAAATTTATTAGATACTATTCTGTTTTTCTCTTATTTCAAGAGGATTTCCTCTTATTATCAAGAAGAACGCTTGTCGGCGTTGTTAAAATAATCTGTGCACAAGAGGAAATTTATATTAAAATCAATAAGATTTGCACTACACATATCACATATAGTTCCTCAAACTTCAAGAATAATGTGTTTATAATGTTTTCCTCGTAATCTCGAGAGAAGTTCTCTCGAGGTCGTATATAAGAATAAAATCCTCTAAAATTTAGATGATTCCGCTTATTCTGAAATTACTTTCTTTTTTTTTTGGGGTATATTATTTCGTCGATTGAAAAGTAATCCCTCCTCGTCTTGCGGCCTCGACGTCGGATGATGACGTTGCTAACGAGGGGGGTTGAAGCGAAAAATGTTGTTCCCACTGTCACGCGATTGAATGCGCGTGAGTGTGTATGTATGTGTGTGTGTGTATGTGTGTGGTCTGACGTTCGATTATTTCGTACATAAGTCTCGATGAAGCGGCGCGGTGTGGGAAGGCTCTCGCAGCCGGCACGTATCGACTTAGCGTCGAGCTGCTCGACCTCGAACTGGCGCGCCTGGGAATTTAAGCCGAGCGTAAATTCCGCAGAAAGCTCCCTGTCCCGCTCGCGCGCGCCGTATCGGCATTGCATAAATCAGGCGGGATTCGTCGAACGAAAGTTCGCGCGAGAGGACGACCGGTGCAAGTACGATATCATTACTCCGTTAACCCGCGCCGTGTCGCGTTCTCTCCCCTTGGTGTTGTCTGTGTGTTGTCCGCCTCGCTTTGTTTGTCATTTCTCGGCCTGTGCTCTGCTCGTTGATCTTAACAGGACGTGTCGTCTCTCTGTTGCAGATACTCGGGCCGCACACGTATACGAGCCACGTCACGACCACGACATGCCGCTCCTTGTGTAAGGTAATTATGGCTCGCGTATATCAGCGTCGTTATCAGCCAGCGGGGATTCTTGGTCTCGGCGGCAGGGAATGCGAGGGGAAAGTCGCGCGAGAAACTTGGAAGGATCACGGGCTCCTTTGATCTTTGATTTGTCATCGTGTCCCGTGTCACGTGAAGAATCGAAGCGCGGGTTTCTCCGGATTCATTGCTCCGTTGGTCGCCTGAAGTAATTCTCGTGGAATAAACATTCGCGTCCGGAGGGAGAATTCCTGTCGGGATCTGCGCGTTCTCGGCTTCGGCAACAACGTGTCGCGCAAAAAAGAGATTTCGCCATCCACGTGATTTTTCACGCGATTCGTCTCCGCGCGAGCTCGACCTTGCTACGATTACGCGGTGAGATACGCATCTTTACGGAAGCGTCGTATCTCGTACCACACAGTCGCAGAGTAAATAGACACTAATATTAAACGCCCATTTCTGACGTAATCGCGTGCGACCATAGAAAGAGCGAGAGACAGAGAGAGAGAGAGAGAGAGAGAGAGAGAGAGAGAGAGAGAGAGAGAGAGAGAGAGAGAGAGAGAGAGGAGGCTTTATCGAGCGATCATCCGGCGGCACTGACGACCGAGCGCGTTCCGTCGAGAGTCTCGAGAGAGAGTCAAGAGCGATACACCGAGCTGTGTGTAGCCGCGGCTAAGAAGAAAAGAGCCGGAAACGCCGTTCTCACAGAGGCTTGCTCGTCTTTCGCATTGTTCTCCACCGAAATGCGACGAAATGCACTGTCGCGCGCGCGCGCGAGCACCGGCGACATTTATTCCGTTCGCATTCCGACGCTCCCTCAAATGCCTGAGCGATGAGAGAGAAAGAGAAGATCGATGCCTCGTCGCGGATGGTCGCTCGACTGTAATTGTTCCGGGAAACCGGAAGCGCGTAATTACGCCACGTATCGAATGGAAAATTGTGTGCTCGTCGTCTCCCCTTGCCTCTTCCCCCGTTCTCTCTCTCTCTCTCTCTCTCTCTCTCTCTCTCTCTCTCTCTCAACCCGTGCATTCCGGGATGTGCAGCGATTCTAGCCGTGTGTATGTGTGCTCGGGACGCCGTAAACATTTTTGCGTTTATGAGCCGTTAATGGAGATCGTTATCGCTCGCAAGGGTGATGTTGCAACGAGTTTGTGGGCGCGAGTTGAAAAATTGATCGACTGGAAGCGAGCGAGACGCGTAGACAAAACATCGTTCGTATCCATGAGCGCGAGCGATGTACAGGGTGTCTGAATTTTTACCGGCCAGGCTGCGTCGTCGGTGTGTTTTGCGGATAAAAATAAGAAAGAAAAGGTTATATATATTTTCACGTCAATACGCGATTGGCAGCGATCAGTTGCCTTGGAAATTTTACATTGGTCCTGCTTTATTTCAGCACATGCGTGATCAATCCTTTGAATTAAGTCTTGACATGCTGCTCCGTGTTGCATAAACAATTGGACGGGGGCGGATGAAGCAACATTCACGAGAGGAAACATTTTCCTAATCCTACTTATTTCTTTGTCGTGACTTTTTGATGAAGCTTCTACGGACATATACGGACTTTTCTTAATTCTTTCTTTCATCTTTATTCATAGAAATATTTTTTCGTTATTTTTATCTATAGAAATATTTTCAACCCTGCTTATTTCTTTGTCGAGACTTTTTAATAAAACTTTCACGGACATGTAACTTTTTTAATTCTTTTTCGTTTTTATCCCACGGAAACCGGTGTCTGTCGAAGCTTTAGACACCCTGTACCGCGGGCAATCTCATGCTCGTGCGTTAAACTTACCAATACCACGACACAATCGCGAAAAACAATCTCCCACCCACGGTCACGAGTCGAAGAAACGCGCGTCGACGGTATTCCCGATAAGCGCGAAATTCATGTAACCGCTCGTGAAACAATAAAAGCGCGCTTGCGTAACGCTTATCGGCGCGGGCTATTTTTGCTCTTGATAAAAAGGCGCTTTTGGCGGGGCAGAAGGATTTTCACGGGATGTCGGCGTGAAAGGTGGACGTGTGACATAATAGTGCGCCGAACGCAGGACCGCGCGTTTACTTGTTGCGCAGGCCGGCCGGCCAGCCGGCCGGCCGGCGATCTTTGAATGAGCCGGGCGGATATCTCGACGCGCATGAACTTTCCCACCGTGTGTGCTCTCGGTGATTTCTCCGGAGCCGGCGTAATTCCGCCGCCGCCGCCGCCGCCGCATTCCCGAGCGCGCGACATTCGCGCGCGCCCGCTCGAGCGTCTCAAAGCGCTCACTCGCGGCATTCGTTTCCCGGGCGGAGCGCGCGTGCGCCATTCCGGCTAGAAATTTTCATCAGGTTCACCTAACATTGATAAAGAGCTAATAGGGTGAATGAAAGGTAATCCTAAGTAAGTCAGTCCTTATATTGGGTGTGTGAATATGACTCCGCCCTTTTTTGTTAAAATAAAACACATTTGCTCGTTTAGAAAATTAAAGAAAAGTTTATTGAAAGTATGCTCCATCTGCAGCTACAACCTTCGCCCATCTTTCAGGTAATTTATGTATTCCTTGCCTGAAGAAGTCCTGGTCTTTTGAGCTGATCCAATTATCAAGCCAAATTTTGATACTTTCGTACGAAGTGAACCGTTCTCCCGTAAGATCTGACTGCATCGTCCGGAATAAGTAGCAATCTGAAGGAGCTATGTCTGGCGAATATGGCGGGTGGAGTAGCACTTCCCAGTCCTGTCCATCTAAATATCTTTTCACGACTTCTGCGATATGCGGTTTGGCATTAATTTGCTGTGCCTATTCACCCATTCTGGCCGTTTTTCTTCCATGGCTCGCTTCAAACGCATTAGTTGTCGTCGGTAAACTTCTCCTTTAATAGTTTGGCGACTATCCTCTGTCAATAATGCTTCCAATTCAGCATCTTCAAATTTTTTTGGTGGTTTCCCGTGTTCTCTGTCCTCAGTTCCAAAATCATTATTTTGAAATCGCCGAAACCATCCTTACAAGTTGGATTAGATGGAGCATGATCACCGTAAATCTCCACAAGCAAACGATAAGTTTCCGCTGCACTTTTCTTTGCAATAAAATAGTGTAATAATACTTCCCGCAAATGATGCTTGTTTGGAACGAAAACCGACATTTTCAAGTAGGGTAAAACACTTGTTGCTTACACTTAAACCAAATTTCACGTAGTGCGTTTGAAAGTTGACATGAAGTACTATCGAATACAAGTGTTGCCAGTTATTAGTACACGTTAACAATACTAAAAGCAACATCTGTTGGGAAAGGGCGGAGTCATATTCATACACCCAATAATGTCCTAACGACAAATGAGTAAAGAAGACCTTTATAAGGTTACAATGATTGGGTCCACATTAGGACCTTAATGTACCAACCTAGTGCATGATACAATATGGTTCAGTTGATCAAGTTCTTGTCGGGATCTTATTCATTGTATCTAGTATGATTTGCATTATCAAGTTTTAACAAAACAATTTTTGGGTGTCATTTCCAAATATAAAGATGTCTGCATTGGAAAAACACTTGAGATCACTTGAATATATTTGTAAAATGCTTATAGAAACTATCCCTTCTTTAGCAGTCAGTAAATAGTTGTAAAATTAACGTGACATGCAACTTTTCTCTTTAACGCTACTTTATGTCTTGTCACCATGTGATACTTTATGATCTTATGATATTCATTTTATGTTTCTTTTCCGAAACATTTTACAAGTATGCTCGAGCGATCTAAAATATTATTTCATGCAAATATCTTTTTATTTGGAAATGACATGAAAGAATTCTCAGTGTGTCATTTCTTATTTCTAATGTCATCATCCAACATAACCGTGGCGAGTAATCAGGGGTCAATAATTTGAAAAAAAAAACGTGATAAAGATTCCATAAAGTAACTCAATAAGGACCTGACTATGAATCCTTACTAAGATCCTGATATTCACGCTGTGTTACATGACTTACTAGGACCCGATAGTATTATCTTATTGGGACCTGAGTCTAAGTGAGGTGAACCTGATCAGGACCATGGGATAAATTTCTAGTCGAGATCCTGACGGAGCCGGCGCACAGAGCCGGGGCCAGATGACATTTTTTGCTTCAAAATTCTCTAGAGTGGGGCCAGATGACATTCTTTGGTTGAAAATTCTCTAGACCTGAATTTCCAACCGATCATCGACACCAATGGATGAGGTTGGTCCTGAATAAATTCCAAAGAGATCTGTCTAGCCGAAATTTTGAAAAAATTATCGCTTCAGGGTTCGTGGATTTAGAGTTTGTCTGAAAAGTTTATCGTTTAAAGTACAGTGTCTTGGATTCGAGCCTATGGATACACTAAATGCGCGAGCCCAGAACTTACAATCACCTTTTAGAAAACTCAGAACTTCAAAGCTCATCATCTCAGCCCACATTACTAATAAGAAAGGATTAAGGATCAGAATCCCTCGGTTTTGCGCTTAACGGGTCTACATTTGATGGTTTTGTATTTTGGGCATACGAGCTTTGGGTTAATGGATTTCTGCTTCAAGATCGATAAATCTCGAGGTATCTGTTGATTGACTTCATAGTTTCAATCCGTTGAATAGAATTATTGAATAGAAATAGGTGTCGAATAATGAGTACTTCACAAGTTTCTCGCGTTTGACGATAATTTTTCCTCTTTCGAGGCTAGTAATTCGAGAAAAAATGTTTTTTTTAATTTTGCCAAGATGGATCTCTTCGGAATTTATTCAGGATCAACCTCATCCATTGGTGTATCGATGTTCGGTTGGAAATTCAGGTCTAGAGAATTTTCAACCAAAGAATGTCATCTGGCCCCACTGTGCGCCGGTGCCGCCAAGGTCGCGTGCGCTCGCCGGCTATTGACGAAACTATCTCTCTCTCTCTCTCTCTCTCTCTCTCTCTCGAGCGACGACGCGATCAATTCGCCGTGCACGTGTCTGTCATCCCGTGTGCGCGCGTGCGACATCGTCGCCGCGTTTCCAGAAATCGCAACACACACATTAGCAGCCGGGATCCGTTAATTGCCGCCGCCACGTCGAGCGACGACGGCGGTGGCGCGGCCCCGTTTTTCGTTTCGCGCTCTCTGACGTCGAGCACGATATCATTACGCATCGCATAAATAAAGCGTGTGCACGGTCGATATTGCACGCCTTTATTGAGCGCTGCGCGCTATCAATCAGAGCCGGGCACAATGTAATTCCGCCAGTGATCCGCGTACTAATGAAATTTGTGATTGATGACTGGGATTATTGAATAATCGCGGTGCTAGATGGAATAACAGAGGTAAGCGCGCTGAAGCGATTATCGGCCGTGATTCGACTTATCAGTCCGGTCATTAGGGAAGATTGCGCTCTTAATTGACGATATATTCAATGATGCGGCGGAATGCTCCGAGGGTGGACGTTTGTGAGACGTGTTTATTAATTAATCAAAAATCGCGACGATAATCGATAGCTGACGTGGGGAATAATGGTCAGTCAGCGGAGTCTCTCGGCAGAGCGCCGGGAAACTCGTGTTTATCAACTAAAGATCCGTGGTCAGCAACTGACGTAGAAAATGATGATCGATGAAGAAAAGACTGGAGGGAAGACACCTGGAAAATTCCTGGAAGTGTTTATCGATTAAAACTCCCGACGGAAGCCGATAACCGGCGTTGAAGAACAGTAATCGCTGAGAAGCAAGCGATCGCCGCGCGAACTTGAAGAAGCGCGACGAGAGGTCGCGCTCTTTCCTGAATCTCCATATCTCCTCGCTTCGCGCGGAAAGAAACGAGCAGATTCTGAGCGAGGGACGAGCGGCAGCCTTCCGCAGGCGAAATTCGCCAACGAAATCGCGCGCGCGCGCGCGCGCGCGTTCGACGAATATATCGCTCTTTAACGCGTCGGGGCGCGTAACGACACCTTAATAAGAACCGGCAACGCTAATTCCCCTCGACCGGCTCCCCACGAGCACACCAGCAACGGTCCCGAGCTTCGTCGTCGTCGTCGTCAGCTGTGCGAAGGTCAGGGTCGCGCGCGCGCCAGCCGGGAGGGTGCAATCGATGCACCGTCGCCGCCGTCGTTGCCGCGTAGCCCTCGCCGGATGCAGTTACCATGGAGACCATCTCCTGACCCCCATTGCCAGAGACCGAGCTCGCGGCGTACACAGCGGCGCAGGAGGGGGGAGGGAAACCGGGCATCGAGTATCAATCCCTCCGTGATCGCGCGCGACAGCGGAGAAGCGCAGGCGGCGTGTGAGAGAGAGAGAGGGAGAGAGAGAGAGAGAGAGAGAGAGAGCGTGCGTGTCGCACCTAACGCGATCTCCCTCGTCTTCTACCGCGGTCCTCTGCTCCTTCCTGGTCGTCGTCGTCTGACTCGTCGAGCGCGCGACATTCCGCGAGGAACTTCCGCGTCGACAGCGCGCGAGACTAATATCTGAGGGGAAAAATGCTCGCGGCCGATCGGCGTTTCTTCAGCGAGGAAGCTGCACGTCGGAATCGGCATTGGGCAAACAGTGGCGCGAGATAGGCGCGGCGAGAGGCGAGCGAGGGGGTGTAATTAAGGGACTTTGTTACAGTTACGCGTGACATAGTCGAAGCCGCCGCGTGTGGACGTGTGATGATAAGGATAAGCTTCGGATTATCAGTGGTGACCCAGATAGATGTTAATTGCAGCGCTGCTCGATCGTGCGCCGAGGAGTGATAATCGCAGCGAGTGCAAAACCACACGTGAAGACAGGACGAGTCGCTCAGGGTCGCTTAGGGGTTCTGTCGAAATCATCCGCGCCGCTGAACGCAATTACGTAGTCGAGCCGTCGCAACCTTCGCCCATCGCGGAGACAAATCGCGATCCGCTGAGCGGACGGAGAGTGACGAGGAGAGAGAGAGAGAGAGAGAGAGAGAGGGAGGGGGGAGGGAGAGGACGAGCGAGCGAGCATCGGCTAGAGTCGCACATGGAATCACGTTGCGCAAGGTCGGCCCCGAGACGACGAAAGTAAGGTCAGCTGATAGAGAAATCAATATTCCCCGAATCGCGCGCCTCGACGTCACGGCGGTGTCGCGACAACCACCGCACCTTCGCGCTCGATCCTCGGCCGCGTGAATTAGACGCGCACGTGAAGAACGTGACGCGAACGTCATCCCCGTCACGTCCGCGGCCGAGCGCGATATCGATCTCCGAGAGTGCCGAACGAGAGAGAGAGAGAGAGAGAGAGGGATTTAGCGCGAAGGAGAGAGAGAAAGAGATATGGATGGCTGGAAGAGCTGGAAGAGATCGGAGAGTTCGCTCCTCTCGGCATGGTATCGGCGCGTGAGAGAGTCCTACCTTGCACTCTGGTTCTTCGGGGTGTTTCAGAGCAGCAGCATGTCGACGAGCACCGCCTCCGGCGGCGGCGGCGGCGGCGGCGGGGGCGGAGGTGGAGGCGTCGGCGGAGCCCTCAGTCTGATGGGCTGCGTGAGAGAGGCCTCGCCGCCACCTCAGAATCATCACTCGCATCATCACCATCATCATCATCAGCAGCATCAACAGCATCAACAGCATCAGCAGCAGCAGCAGCAGCATCGCGCCTTCGGCCTCGGCGAATTCCCGGCTCAGCACAGCGTCGACCCTCTGCCCAAAGGTCAGTACCTGATGCTTCCCTTTTGGCTTTTAGCCTGCACTTGAGGCGGCGTCTCTCGTTGCGAGGTGCTGCGAGGTCGTGAAGAAAGTTACGACGCGGCGTGAGACGGCCGTTTTGTTTTGTAATGGATGGATGGATTGTAATTCTGCGGTTTCCGCGACGGAACGGTCGTCTTTCTTTCTTTCTGTCTGTCTGTCTGTCTGTCTGTCTGTTTGCCGTCTTTATCATTTGCGGTCGAACGCGCCGCTCGAAGATTGACGAAAATTTCCGCCGCTTCTCGCGAACCACCGGTGCGTGAAATCGCGCTTCGGCTTTGAGAAATTGGATTCCACAGAAGCCTAATTCACGGGATCTTTGCGCGGAAGCAGCGCGCTGTTATATCAGCGGAATTGGCCGACAGCGTTTCTTACCGTGTGAGATTTCTCGTTACCTTTACAATGAGGAGAAATAACGAGAGCGTAATTTGTAGCTTAAAGGGGTCTAGCAACCCCTTAATGAAGATCTGGACGAGTGCGGCTCTGATCATGAAATTGTTGGCTGCCGTTAGCTCGTTAACATGGACGCTGGTATCAACATTAATTAATATAAGAATGCCAGTAACAACAAAGAGAGAGAGAGAGGGGGGGGAGGAGGAAGAAAGGAAGAGACTTCGACGGCTGCTATAACGTGGCTGTTTCTCTCGAGGCAGCCGTCGCTCGTAATTAATACCGATACGTGTCCCTCGGGCGTTACTACTTTCCATCTGTTTCCGGAGATGGCGGAGAAACGAGATGCTCGCGGCGACGTCGGGAAAAGCACATTCCCTCCGTCGGGAATCGGATTCGCGCGTGTAAGATCGGGAGACATCCTGCGGATGGATCCTCCAGGAGAGCGTCAACAAGGCGAAATGCGGGTAAACCAGGCGTGTGATGAGACGCGAATTTGTCGAGCGCGACGGGAAACAGCTGATTTTCCGCGCAAATTCGCGATTATGCAATCACGTAGTTGCATTTTCACACACTTACGTAGAATTTTGCGACTTCATCGCGTCTCACGTGTGTGTATAACAATCTTTCCGTGTGTATAACAACCTCTCTCGCCGCACCGCGTTTCCGCGATTTCTTCAATTTGCAATTTCGCATATGCAGCAAACTGAATATTCATCGTCACGCAAATCGAAAGTGTTCATTTGGATTGCACATTTGGCGGAGAATCGACGCCGAGATCTGGTTTCCCCTCTCTCTCTCTCTCTCTCTCTCTCTCTCTCTCTCTCTCTCTCTCTCTCTCCCCCCTCCCCCTTTCTCTCTATCTCTCTGTCTCTCTCTCTCTCTCTCTCTCTGTTGTTTCCTCCGCCCGCGCCAGTTTCCAGCTGAAAGGAGACTCGATTCGCCGCTGAGAAAAAAAATGAATTACTGATCCCGAGATTCGAGGATTTCCCGGCCGCGTGCCTGGGTTAGCACGCGTTACGGTATTGTTCGTAACCCGTAATATACCCCGCGCGAGAATGTCCTCCGCAAGGATGGTAAATCGAGGACGTCGTTAGCGGTAGTACGAGGCACGGGCGCTTAATTAGAAGCGGACAAAGATTAAGAGACTGCGGCAACCGTGATTATGACAGACGGCTATGATTTCTTCCCTGTTTATTTTTTTTTTCTCTCGCAATGTGCCGTAACCATTGTTCGGTAGAACGTAACCACGTTTATATGTCATTACGGATGAGTTTCCGGGAGTCGTCGGAACGACGACTCTCTCTCTCTCTCTCTCTCTCTCTCTCTCTCTCTCTCTCTCTCTCTCTCTCTCTCTCTCTCTCTCTCTCTCTCTCTCTCTCCCCCATTTTCCCTTCCTCCTCCCGGTGTTCTCTCGTTCGATTAATCCCGAGTGAATCGCGAGGTTCAGGCATCAGGATTAACTCGCGAATTAATTCCTTCGCGACGCGTGACACACCGGAGCTTTTCCGCTTAGTTTGTGGCGCTGTTTTGCGTGACTTTTCCTGCGCCGAGGTTAATCCGTCGGTCCCTCGCGTTAAGTCTCGAATAAACTCGCGCGACCAGAGAAGGAAAGCCGCCGTCAGGGTGTCGCTTTTCAATTGCGAGTCGAACTCAATTTCCGAGAAGGATCAGATGAGAATCTCCGAGAGGTTGTGCTCTCGTCGCGCGTGCAGTGTGTTGTCTCGAAACTCTGTAAAATTGTCTCGTCCGTAACGACGCGTCAGATGCAAATGTGTTTGCGAAATTATTAACGCGTCGGACGGAAAGACATGTTTGCACAATTATCAGCGCCAAAAGCGGTCTCATCTGTAATGACGTCGAGAAATGCATTTTTGCACTACGACTTACACATAAGGCGCTTTTTTTCGGTGACGCACCCAAAAAAAAAGTAATTTCAGAATAAGCGGAATCATCTAAATTCTTAGAGGATTTTACTGTTATATATAGCCTCAGGAGGATTCCTATAAAATTAGGAGGAAAATATTATGAACATATTATTCTTAAAGTTAGAGGAATTATATGTTATATGTATAATGCAAATCTTATTGATTTTAATTTAAATTTCCTCTTATACTTACGCAGATTATTTAATCTTTTTTCAAGAGGATTATTATTTATTCTTACTTTATAGGGAAAGAAGAGAAAATTATTATGAAACTGTCCGGAAAAATTCTAGTTAAATTTTTTTTAACCAGCATAACTTTAAGCTAATTTTCCCCAAAAATTCTTAAACTTCGTTCATGACGAAACAACCGGGAAAAACAACACAACTGAATAACGACCTCTCTTCTTTTTTCCTTTGCTGTAGACGTTATCCAAAATAAATGTGGCGACGATCGTCATATGCAGAGAGAGAGAGAGAGAGAGAGAGAGAGAAAGAGAGGGAGAGAGAGAGAGAGAGAGAGAGAGAGAGAGAGAGGCTGCGTTCAGAAAATACAACGATTACACAACGGTTGAGTAATTCGTCAACGTTATTGGTCTGAATGTAAGGATCTAACAGTAAGGACCAATAGTTACTAAGCGCTCAGTGAGCACTTTATTTTCTGAACGTAACCAGAGAGAGAGAGAGAGAGTGTGTGTGTGTGTGTGTATGTGTGTCTCAGTGAGAGTGAAAAGAAGAAAAACGCCAACAAGCATTCTTCTTGATAATAAGAAGAAAATTAATCGACGCAATAGGAGAATCCTCTTGAAATAAGAGGATAACAGAATAATATCTAATAAATTTTAGATGAATTGGTACACTTTAGTCGCTTTATCGAAAGAGGAATCCTTTTCCTGCAAAAGGCTTCGCTTAGAATACGACATTATGGGAAAGATCACTTTATGGAAATGGAATACTTTTTTTTTAACTGTGTGGAACATTCTCACGCACACATGAGGAGGAGATTCGGGGGGAGGCTGGTCGCGGCGGACAGCGGGGATATTCAGGAAGGTGCGTGCGCGTGTGTGTGCATTATTCCGTGATGTCGATATAAACAGATATTACGTGCGATAGACAGCCGTGAGCGAGCCGACTCGAGCGTAGCGTTATTTTTCGCGCTCCACCGATGCCGGTAGCCGTCGATGCGTGAAGAGTGCGCTCACAGAGAGTGTCAAGTACACAGTAAAGATCACTCCCGATCAAGCGTGCACTCTTCTCCCCTTGTCGTTCCAAAGCGCGCTCGATCGCGGAGCGTCGCGTCGGCCGGCGGCCGCGTCTCGTGGTAGATCGACTTTAAGCGCAGCATCGCGCTCTCTCTCTCTCTCTCTCTCTCTCTCTCTCTCTCTCGTGCTCACAAAATTGCGGAGGCGACAGACGGCTCTCGCCTTTAAGCGCGACGTCACCGCTTCGCGTTGGAATTGAAGGCGCCGTTTGTTTTCAGAACGCCCCGAGGCGACCCGTAAACATCGTTTCCTGTTTGAATGTTCGTCTGTCGGGGCCCGCTTCCGGTCGGCCATTTGTGCGCGACCCCCCTTAACGAATTTGTCGTTATCGGGACTTTCGAGGATACCCGCCAATGTCGTACACTACGATTACAAGTTATCCTTGATATAAATTTGCATCGTAAGCGCGCCTCGACGCGCATTAAAGCTCGTCGTATTTGAAAAAGAAAAAGAAAAAGAAGAAAACGTGTCGGAGGTTTTGAGTAGAATTTGCAACGTGCCGTTTCATCTTCCGGAACGGTGAGCGGAATTTTTCTCGCCGGTTTCCCGCCGTGTTTTTTATCGCTCCCGTTCGTTTTGCGTATCCCTTTGCTCCCGTTTGATCTCTCGTGTCGCTTTTCAGCGTTGACATTTAACGTTTAACATTTCCCGTACTGTTTTCACTCGTCACGCTAACCGCCGCGATATGCGGCACAAATGTTTGTCCGGATGATGATTATTTATGGCGGGCGATTAGTTATTCGGATAATTTTGCTCGATCTCGTTCCACTGTCTCCTCAAAAATGCCTAGAATGAATCCACCTGCTGAAAGCGCTAAATCTTCGAGAGAGAGACGTACTCTCGCGCACTTCCACGGGCTTCGACAACTTCGAAGGCCTCGCTCGTCCGCCTGTCGCGGGGAAATCGACAGACGGTGCGTCACGTCGAGCGAGCAATTTCGGCTATTCGTAAGCGAGAAAAATAGGGGCGCGGGTGAGAAAAGAGCCCGGCCGCTCCGTCAGAGAGGGAGATGGAACGTAGCGGCGACGCCAAAAGACGCATACCTTATAAGGAGAGGGGCTCCCCGTGCTGCCGCCGATAGACGTCAGTTGATAGAGCTATCGAGGACAGAGTCTCTCTAATCTTATCGTCGCGGCCGTATCCGCGTGTTATCGAATCCGTGAAGTCAGTCAGGTGTGCGCAGCGCAAACGGAATACGCGCGATTTCTCCGCGCGAAAATCCGGAGGATGTCTTCTTTCGAGCTGTTCGAGGACTTGTTCGGTAAATATTCCCTTAAGTCGTCTCGCGAGAATCGCGCGCTATTTTCGGCGTCGATAGCAAATACGAGCGCGCAGCTTGCGATGATGTTTCTCTACCGGGTCGATGTACTCAAAAATTTGTTTTTGTTTTATATGACGTGTTAACAAATGAATCTTGATTAAATGACAATTGTTTATCGTCTTGAATGCAATTAGCTGAATGAATGTGACTTTTCATGTCTGCGGAATTATTATTATTATTAAAAATCAAATAATTACATAATTATATAATTAAATAATTATTATTAAACTTTTGTTGTATGCAGTTTGCGCATGTTCGTGCGAATGAATCGGAGTCAGAAAATACGAAATAGCGAACCCGCCTCCTCTAATGTTTGCTTGCAGAACCAAAGAAGCGCCGTTTTCACCCCCTGCGTGGTCTCAGGAAGATCTTTCGGCGGAAGAGCCGCGGTGCTGCCGACGTGCGTCTCGTTTCCAATTCCGCTGATCGAGATGCGGAATTGGCGCGTCTCCCGCGGGAGGATATCACGATGAGACATCCCGCGGGTCGCCCCGAGGAAGCACGTAGCAGAAGCGCCAGCGAGCTTCTCACCGACTCCTGCGACAGGGAAAGGTAGGATAACGTCGCTCGCGTATGTTAGTTGTATAAGCAATCACGAGATTATTATTTAAAAATCTCTCTCTCTCTCTCTCTCTCTGAATATACGTTTCGCAAACTGAATTTCAGCGATAGAATCACGCTTGTTTGTTTGTTTGTTTCTCGAAAACGATCGTCGCTTTTGATTAGAAATAAGATTTTCCACATATTTTTATCAAACACGATTATGATGTGGTGGGCGGTTACTCTTCATTCGAAACAAAATTAAGAAAACTTTTCCCAAGATAATTGTAACACAGTTCTCGAGTTTCTACTCGGATGGGCATTGCTTCCTCGTGTGAGATAATGATTACTTTTATTTAGCCCGCGAGGAATGTTTATGTAGATTTTCCCCGGTAGATTAAGCGCGCTATCGGCAGCGGCCTTTTATCGGAGCGGCGGAGAATGCGAAATTTGTCTTGCCGTTTCAGCGGACGGAGACGCAGCTTCGCCGCGTCTTTCAAGACGCGCAGGTCGTTCGAGCAGTAAATATCGCGAGGTTAAACTCGCTGCCGCGGTAGAGATGCTCGTCGAGCGATTCGTGGCTCGAATCGCTCGAATTTCCGCGGAACCCTCTCTCGTCGTCAAAATCCTAACCTCATTCTACCACATGTAGATATTAATTAACTAGCTAATTAACAACAAGCATTGCCAGCGATGTATCAGCTGCCAATTTTAGTCGGACGATTCGTTCGAGTAGCCCCCGCTCCTCCCCGTTAGAATTCGAATCCGCGATTCTCCGCGAAAACGGGGAGAGTCGCAGCAGACACCCTCTGCTTACTCGCGCGACCTGCCAGCGATTAGAAATATCTAACGATAGATCGACACAATCTTATCGCGGGTATATTAGGACTCGGTTAAAATGCTGCAGCCGCGATATTCTTGTTGATACAGCGTTTATCGTTTAGCGCTTCCGATGAAAGTCCCGTCGTATTTTTGTCTACGTCTCTCTCCGTAATCTCTTTGTGATTACGCGAATCCTTTCCAGCTTTGCCGCTGGCTGTGTGCTTTATCGTCGAACAGATACTGGCCGCTCTACACACACTTACGTACACACACATACACACGTATCGCTAAGTATACTGAATCTTAATCTTCGGTAAATACGATCGCACAAGAACGCACGATGTTTCTCAGAGAGCCGCGCCGTTCCGCGGGCTATTTGTTTAGCCACTCGACTCCATCTTTTGCCCCGACGGAGATATCTTCTTCCCGACGATAAAGTGTCACTTTCTCTACACAGTAGAGAAGGATTCGACGCGCGCGCGTCTCGCTAATTGGATTGCGCGAGAGTCCGCGCCGCGCCGTTCGTTTCGTTATCAATTTACGATTCCTACGGCCCCGTTTCTCTTCCTTTCTCGTTCTCGTCTTTTATTTTCGTCCCGCTGAGGACGGCTTGCTTACGTCGCGGTGGCACGAAACTCCGCTCGCGTGTCTCTCTCTCTCTCTCTCTCTCTCTCTCTCTCTCTCTCTCTCTCTCTCTCTCTCTCTCTCTCTCTCCCCCCCTCTCTGCATGATTCACGATGCGGCAGCACACATAACATCTCAATATTATCTCAATATTATTACGACGACGGGGTCGTTCTTGCACGAGTGCGCGGTTTCGCCGAAGGAGAATATACGGAGACAGAGGGACGGAGAGAGAGAGGGGGGGGAGGAAGAGAGGGAAAGACCGCATAATTATCTGTCATCGTCAACGCGCGCGTTACTTTCAGAGCCCGACAAATCGCTCGTCGTCTTGATTGCGAGCGCATGAGCGACAGGAAGTAAATTCTACCTCTCGAGCGCTCTGTGCCCCTCCCCTCCCCCGCTGTTCCGCGTGTGCGCTTCCCTCGTAGAAAACTTTTTGAGCGATATTCGTGAGCGCGCAACACGTGACAGCGATTCTTGTCGGCCCGTCTTATCATTGTAATCGCTTTATCGCCGCGCTCTCGACTCTCACGCGGCCTGACCTTTTAACGCGACTACGCCATTTCTCTTTGCATTTTCAGCGTATTCCTCCGAAGGGGCGGCGGCGGCGGCGGCGGCGGAGGCGACGACGGCGGTGGCACGGAGGACAGTTTCGCCAAGTTACGAGGAGGCGCCGGCAAGCTGTCGGTGTCGCACGACAGCGTTTTCCCGGGAGAAGTTCCTCACACTCGGCCTCTCTCCTCGCTGGCCAGCCTGGCGACGCTCGAGGTCAGTGCTTATTCTCTTATTCATCGGCGTTACTTGCAGGATACCGCGGAACGCGTGTACGCGGCCGCCGTGGTGTTGCGAATGTCGTAACAGCGACGACGACGACGACGACGCCGCCGCGCGAGACGGCGTGAATGATTTAGCTCGTTGGGCATGAAACAAACACGGGAAGTCGCTCCGGGCCTCGTCCGAGGGGGGAAGGGGGGGCGAGTTCTCCCTGAGGAACGTCTGAAAGACGCGCCAAGCCCTGGGAGGGGGGAGGGCCGTTCTTTAGCACCCCGGGAATTCGGATCGAGCTTTGAGTGCCTCTTTCGCTGATTTCACGTCGCTCCTCCGCCGTCGACGTTCGGATAAATTCGGATAAATTCGAGTCGGCCGAAGCGGCCCGTCGCGTCGCTTTCACGGCTTCTCTCGAGGCCGAGGGAAGAGGGTTCAATGCGAATGTTCGACCGTTAACGAAGGAATCCACGGCTGCTCGGCTTACCCGCCTGCTCTCGACATGCTCGACAGATCGATCGACCACGTGCTGCGTGTAATCGTTGGCGAGGGAGAGCCGGGAGGGGGGTGTGAGCTTTTCCCTCTCTCAGGCCGGCCGGTGAAGAAACTCCCGGCGACACGTCGTAATTATCCGCAAGAGCTCGCTAATTGTGACGCAAGTGCCGCGTACGCGCGCTGTTCGCTCGTATCATTTACATATGCGTAAATTACACGCGAATGCGGAGATTCGTGCTCGCCACGGCGTGAAGCGTAAACGGCCGCCGCGGAGGAAACCGCGGCTCCTTCTTCGCCTACTACGTCGTCCTCGCCGTCGCCGTCGCCGTCGTCACGCCGTGTCTTCTCCGTCCGCGAGAGAGAAGGAGCATTCTCAGCACGCATCAGCACGAATCGAGTTACGCGATTAGTTACACGTGTCCACGATCGGATCCGTGACTTGTCTTCTAATTCTCGCGGTCGAAGAATCGCGCGAAGAACGGCGATCCCCGTCGACGCCACGCACACACATACACACGCACGCACGCACGCACGCAACGCACGTACGCAGCGGATTCGAGGCACCGTTACCACCGCGGATTGCGTAAAAGTGACGTGGCGAGCGTTACGCGTAGTAGCGCTTAATCGACGAACAAACGGCTGGCTAATTAAGCGGCTAACACACGTGTCGCTTAGCGTTTCTCCGAACGAGAGCCCGGCTTACTTTTTCTCTCGTCGCGCGCCTCCGCACCGTTACTTTCCTTCGTTATTCTTCCTGCGCGCACGTGTGCGCTCGATGATATCTCTCCGAGTCTCTCTTTCTCTCTCGTCTTTCCCCCCCCCCCCCCGCCCTCTTTTTATCGTTCGATTTCCGCCGCTTTACGAGACAGGATATCGCCGTAAACCGACTCGGCCCGGCGAGCATTACCCGCTGCGATTGCCACGCGCGGCCTTTCGGGGTATCCGGGATAATGTAAAAAGTAACATTCGGAGCGACGGCGACGGTGGTGATACGTGTCGCTTATCGGCGGGTTTCCTCGTGTCCTCGCCGTACCTGACCGAGCGTGTCGAGTCGCCTTCGCGGCGCGTCGATTCTACGCGCTTCGTCATATATATCGTTGATTATTTCAGGTAATTATGCAGTACAGGGGACATAAGCACCTTCAGTGACTTTGATATTTTATATGCCGTCAGAGTCATCGCTCTGAGTGATGTGCACAGGAGATTTTAGATGGCGCTCGTTGCTCGTTGAAAAGTTATCAACGACAAGTTTCGTTAATCGAGCGTAATTTCTCGACACTGTTGGTGGTCGATGAATTTGGCAGTACGGTAAACTTTACATGTGTCTAAGCAGAGAAAAGGGGCTCCAGTTGCATAATTAATGAAAATGCAAAACTAAAGTTGCGTAAGTGCAATCTTTTGCCTTAGTAAATTAACGAGTTTACAATATACTAAAATAACAGATTCTCAGAGAGGGTTAGCAAATAAATTACTTAAATGCAAACTTTGCGTATTTTTTTGCAATTTTAGTATACGGTAGACTTATCAATTTAGAAAGGCGAAAGATTTAAGCGCCAAAACTTACGTATGTAAAAACGAACGTATTGATAATTCGTTTTGATGGTACCATCCGAGTACCATTGAAAAAGTGGCGGTCATTGTTTATTACAAACGGTGAATACCAATTGCGTTCATTTTGTTGAGCTTCTTTTGTTGATAACTTTTCAACAAACAACGAGCGCTGCCTGCAATCTTTTGCACATTACTCAGGGTGATGACTTGACAACATATGTCAAGGTCAAAGTCATTGAAGGTGCATCCTCTATACTGCGTAATTACCTTATTTTATTATCGTTATTTCATGGAGTCACCGGCCGGCCGGTGAACTTTCGTCGACGCCTCCTCGCGATCGAACATTTTTCCCGGCGATCCGTATCGGAATCCTCCGTAACGCGGAACCCGTAGCACGAGATATCCTTTCTATATCCGAGAGAGAAGGAGAGCAAAATCAGGAGCACGTTCCGTCCTGATACTCGAGGAAAGTCACGAGTCGGTTTTCGCGTTCGTGGAAAAACCACCCGCGACGACTCGCGGGAGCTCGCCTCGTCGTCGTCGTCGTCGTCGTCGTGGTCGTCATCATCACCATCATCGTTATCGCCTGTTCTCTTGCTTCTTGCAGCGGCGGCAAGCCCGTAAGAGTAGCGAGATCATCGAACACAAGGAGTACAATCACCACGTCGCACAAAGGCACCGGATATCCCTGCGGGTAATAATTCGCGGCAGCTTTCCGCTCGCTTTCCAAGTAATAAACGAACGCGCGGACGATCGACAGCCGTCACCCGCTCTCTCGATAAGCCGCTGTCGCGCGCGAGAAAAAAAAGCGTAACGCAGTCGTGCTTTATCGTCGCGCTTTTCTCGTCGGAAACGCGTCTCCTCGCTTTGACACCTCGCGGCACACGTAGAGAAACATGGCGGGGGCGCGCGCACATTGCCGGTCGCGAGCTGTTTCCAATGCGCGCGCTGGAACACGATATTCCCGCTCGGTTATTTTTGTACGGCTCGAGCACGGCAGAAGTAATCCGCAGAAAAAAGCTGGCGCTTCGGTTTACGCTCCTCCTGTGTCGGCTAAAATTTCCGCGTACGACAGTCGCGCGCGCGCGCGCGCGCGCACGTCTGCAACTCTGCGTGTAATTATCGGCCGCTACTTGTGGTTTGTTCGCAGGTACTCGAGCAAATCAAGACGGTCATAGAGAACCGGAACCAGCTGGCCTCGTCGACCTCGCCGGATGCAACGCCCGGTGTAGCGTATGTGAGTATCTGGTTTGTGGATTTCGCTCGCGTCGGCTTTGACGCGGAGAGCGCAATCTCCTTTCGCGTTCCTTTCGCCCCGAGCGAGTTCCTCCGCTCCGAAATTGTCCTTACCGATGCCTGATGTTGTATTTGATAAATACGTTTGTCGTCGAGTCATCGTCTACACGGCAAGGAAAGATCGATCGGACGATGACACGATGAACGGGGGAAACGGAAGAATCTCTGCGTCTTCGGAGTGAATTGGACTTGCAAAGAAAGATAGAGAACCTGGAAATTCAAAAAAATTATGAAACTTTGCGTGGAAGTAAAATAGTTGATCCGTAATGCAAGACTATTTTTTGTTCGTGCGGGAAATCCCACTGTAAGGGGGTGAAACCACCCTTCGAAAGAAAAAACCATTTTCATTTTTAGCGTATATCTTTTAAAATACGAGACATATGCAGAAATAGTTTATATGAAAGTTGTAACGTATTTCTGTACTCTTTGCAACTGTGCATTCAGATTTTACAAAAGTGGCAGAGGGCGGAGGGAGTTTAAAAAATTATGCAATTTTGCAAAATCTGAATACACAGTGTTGCAAAGAGCAGTGTTGAAATACACTACAACTTTCATACAAACCATTTTTGCATATGCCTCGTATTTAAAAAAATATATTTTAAAAAATATACGCAAATATAAAAAATATATCGTATTTTAAAAAATATATTTTAAAAAATATATATTCTAAAAATAAAATTGATTTTTTTTTCTTTTTTTTTCTCCGAAGGGTGGTTTCAACCCCTCAGACTGGAATTGTGCACGAACAAAAAATAGTTTTGCATTACGGATGAACTACTTTACTTCCACACGAAGTTTCATAATTTTTTGAATTTCCGACTTCCCTATGTTTCCTTGTTAGCAGGATCAGAGTGGGACTGATGCGACGGCGAACGCCTTGTCGCTTGAGCTGACAAAGACGAACTCCTCGGTCGGTCGGACGTAATTTGGCTCGTAAGAAGTAGAAATTCCGTCCGCGCCCGGCTCGAAACGCGTTGTTCGCCTGCTGCTTGTCGCGTTCGTTCCGGCCGGGGTCTTTTTCTTCGCCCGCCGTATCGAATTACAAGATCCTCGGCCTCATTATCGTTTTACCGATTAGAACGCTCGACTGCTTCGAGACGTTGGGTATTTGGTTACATATAATTACGGCAATTTTACCGGAGCCCCGAAATCGAAGAGAGACCCGCCGCCGCCGTCCGTCGTCGTCGCCGGGCCGATCGCGCGCGGCCAGTCAAGATTTTCGCTCTTACCGCGAGCGGGACGAGACATTTGGAGAATAAAAAGGCGGTCGCCACGCGCGAGCGAAGGAAAGTCCGGCTGCAATAATAAAGCCGTGCAATAATAAAGACGCAGAAGCAGAAAGCAAGATGCTCTCCAAGAAGCGCGCGCGCGCGGTGCGCTGGCTCTCGCGGATAATTAGCGGGCGCGTTTCTTCACACCCGTTTGTTCCCCCCTGCCCCTTCCTCTCCTGTTTCCCTGAATGTGTGGCACTCGCCGAGTGACGTCACGTTTCGCTTTTGCGTTTCAGGCGGTCGGCGAGCGGTATCAGCAGGAAACCACCGAGGTGAGATAGTGCTCTCGTGTTCTCTCGGTATCGGGCGCGTTTCCAGCCGTCAGTAGTTACGCACGCGCGTTGCAGCGCTGCACTCCTGCGACTCCTCGGTCGCGTTCGTCGGGCGATTTTCCGCGCGGACACATCGTTGCACCTCGAGAGATCGCCTCCTCATCCTCGGAGGATGACGCGACGATAAATCGATCGAGACACGAGGCGCGAGAGAGAGGAACACGCGCGAGGCTTGTTTTCGCGAGCAGTTTTTCCGGCGAAGATGGGCAACGACGCGGGCCGTCCGAAGTCCGTGCGCAGAATGTTCAATAAGGTCTTGTTCGTGTCCTCGGTAGTGTCCTCCTTGAGGAGCAGGATAGGGGTAAGAAGAAGGCGGTGACGGAGAGAGAGGAGGCTCCCCTCGTTGTGTGTCGCTTTCCTCGTTAACGCGTTAACTTTCTCCGGCGAGCGCTCAAAAATCGCGGACTCGCCGCCGCGGTGACAGCCTGTCAACGACTTTCATTCCTTACGTCACACGTCGCGCGTTCAGTCTCGCGCGCGCGCGGTAAAAGTCAATTTTACCGCTTGTGAGCCGCGACCGGTCGATCCCGCGATCTCGCGTGAAAATTCGACGCGCCTGCTGACGAGATTAGCCGGCCGCGCTCGTCGCGTCTTTTGGCACGCGCCGTTCCCGCGATTAATTGCTTCAATTAATCGTTGTCGATCGGATTCAGGCTGGTTCTCGTTATCCGTCTGAGCGGTGGCAGACGGAAGTCTCGTGGGTTCTCCGTCTTCTTTTCTTGGGATTTATTATTAAAACGTGACAATGACGACGGTTTATTTATTTATTTAACGAGGAGACACTGGGCACATTTCAATACAAAAGCATCACCGAGAAAAGAAAGTAATTTCAGGACAAACGGAATCATCTAAATTTTTAGAGGATTTTACTGTTATATAAAGCCTCAGGAGGATTCCTGTAAAATTAGGAGGAAAATATTATAAACATATTACTCCTAAAGTTAGAGGAATTACATGTTATATGTGTAATGCAAATCTTATTGATTTTAATATAAATTTCCTCTTGTACACAGATTATATATATTATTATTATTATTATTATTATTATTAAGTTCATATAAGAGGAAAATTAATTAATAAGAGGGAATCCTCTTGAAATAAAAGGAAAATAGAACAACATCTAATTTAAATGATTTTAGATGAATAGTTCACTTTAATCGCTTTATCGAAAGAGGAATCCTTCTTCTGTAAAAGGGAAAGATCACTTTACAAATAGAATACTTTTTTTGAGTGATCGAAGAACGTTTTGACGGAGAATTGACGGACTCCTCTAGTCTACCACCCCTAGACGGCTGGCGAGAATCCAACCCTCAACCGAGGCGTTTTCTGTTTCCAGAACCGCTTCAGCATCTTCGAGAAGCACGACAGGAGCGCCGACGACGGTCATCAGCAGGGGAAGGTGAGTGTGCACGATTTTTAGCCGAGGGTAAATCCTCTCTCAGCCGGCTTCGCCATTCGTCTCGCTGCGTCCGAAAGGGAAAAACGCGTCTCCGGATATCCTGCTTAATAGAACCGTCGTGAATCAAGCCGGCGAATTTCAGCCGGCAACAGGTGGCGAATGGCAGCCGATAGAGAGAACCCGTTAATCTTGTCTCCCTCGTTATTGGATATCTCTCTCGAATGAACGCAAGCTTGTACACACGCAGTGCCAACGAATCGCATTCGGGGGGAGGGGGGGGGTTGGTTCTCTCCCTCCTTTTTGTCGCCGATTACGATAAGACTCGCGGGTCGAGTCGCATTATCACCTTCCGCATGCGGGTGATACCGCCTCTCTGCGTTGTCCTTATAACGGTAACACCTTTTAAGGTCGTCGTTCGACGGAACGAGGTTGTCACGTCCTTCGCGCGTGTCTCTTTCCCCCTTCTCTCTCTTGCGACATTTTATGTTTATCGAGAGCTCAAATATATTATTATTATTATTATCCTTAATTTGCAATATCTTGCAGATTAAGAGTAATATCATGTATATTTGTCTGAATTCTGCGGACGTCGAAATCGTGACGTGTCGCGAGGAACAAAGGCGTTGATCGCAGGTCGGGATGAGAAAAAGAGTGCTTACGGAGGAAAGTCCGTAGCTGTGGATACTCGACGCGACGTGCTGATAATTTGTTTATCTGACACCGGGAACGATAAAACCGAGTTGAGCTCATTGTTGTATTGTTTTTCTCTAGCGTTTCAATTTATATTTTTCGTTATCATCACATAGACGCTGTATCGGTGATATACAGGGTGGGACGAGATTAGAATACTCTCGAAACATAAGAGTAGAAGAAATATTCATCGGTCGAAAATTTCGTCTTTTGGACGGACAATGTTCGACTCGAGATGGAATCACTTGAAAAAAAGATTTAAAAGTCACTTGTCTCTCCGGAACGAAGTACGCCAAGTGCTGATAGTTGTTGCGTCGCCCTATACAATGAAGCCTTACACTACGACGCGGTTCTCCGCGGAGTTCTCTATGAAACGAGACGAAAAGATATATATATATATATATATAACTTCTGTATCAATTTTCCAAAGCACCGGAGATTGAATTACTTTTGACAATGTTGATGAGGTCGGGATAAAAATGAGATACTCGATATCCGAAATTAATTTGGCAGCTGGTTCGGCACGGCGCTGATATTGATATCAATATTATATTGAACCTTCATTATACGCCGTACGTAATGGGCCGAAATAAATAAATCGGCGATAATTACGCGGATGCGAGTGTTATTACGTTATTGTCAACACACAAGGCTCATCGTCAAGGCTGGATATTAATTTCACGGCGCGGACGTAACTCCTCGTTTTTCACCCGGTCGCGGCACGAAGAGTGACACAAAGAGCGAGATGAAGTAGGGATTATCCTGAAGAAGGGGAACCTCCGAGTTTGTCATCGTCTAACGGGAGATATTTTCGGATCGTGACGTTTATATACGGATCTTTCGGCGCGAGAGCGTGTCCCGCGAAATAAGACAATAAAGTTCATCGTGGGAGGAGGAGAAGAAGGAGGAGCGCGAGAGAGAGGAGAGGACAAAGTCGAACACAGGAATGTGCCTCGCGTCCCTTTTACGGCGTTCTCTTCGTTGTTCCGTTCTCGTTTTCCTCTCTCTCTCTCTCTCTCTCTCTCTGGCGCGCGCGCGCGCGCTCTCTTCGCCCGCTACCATTATTTCCGTCTGCTCGACGATGAATCTCTCCGTCCGCGACCATTATTGCGAACTTCGTGACGGACGACGGCTGGCTGAGACAATACTCGGTTTGTGTCCGCCGAGCCACTCCGCGAAATCACGTTCTGCGCCGCCACTGACTCAGTTTTTCAGCTGTTAAAACGCGCGACTTCGTCGCCGCGATCGCATTCTTGTCCGGAGAACCGGCAACGAGCGAGCGTTGAATGGAAGAGCAATTAGGACCGGCGATCAAATTGTGATTAGAGCGTCACTCTTCTTAATTAAAAAACTAAGTGTATTGAATTTTTTTTAAATCGCAGGCTCGCGAATCCGTATTTTAAGTGCAAAGTCGCTGCCGAGCGCGAATCGCTAATGACGTTCGTCATTAACGATCGCTATTAACGATTGGAAAGTCATTATTATTCAAAGTTTTCAATGAAAACCAGCGAAAACCGGGGAATCCATCGAATGATTTCAACGTTAGTCGCGATACCGAAGTCGCTGTTGAATTCTCAAATTAGCTTGAGAAAATGTCGTCGTGAAAGGATCGACTGAAAATTTATTTTTTATTTCATCGCGTTTCCGACGCGTCACAAATAAATAAATAAATAAATAAATAAATATAAATAAAAATGAACAGACGTAAAAGTTAAAATTAAATTAAAAGAAAAAAAATCAAATTAAAAAAAGCAATTAAAATTAAATTAAATTAAATTAAAAGAAAAATTAACTTAAAATTAAATTAGAAGAAAAGTGAATATAAACAGATAAATAAATAAATAAATAAATCATTCGCAATCTTCCTCAGCGATCACGCTCGATCGCGCTCTCGACGTGTGAGAAACGTAAACGTTAAGGAAGACGGTGGCGCGCGGTCAAGAGAGAAGATCACACAGGGCGGGGCGGGGCGGGGACGCGGCATTTCGATAGCGAGCGTAGGAACAAGCAAAGGCGAGGAACGGTGTAATAGCAGGGCGCGATATAAAGTTTACTGTTACTTGGCCCGTGGCCTGCCGCAGCGACACGGATCAACACCGCCGGGCGTTTCGAGACGCGCCTTCTGAGTGGTCCCACCGGCTCGCTTTCGTTGTTACGTGACAGACATATACGGTCAGACAGACAGACAGACAGACAGACAGACAGAGAGAGGAGGGGGCACAGACGGGTAGAAGTAGATCTGTCATATCGCGAAAAAAAAAGGTAGAAACACGAGGCCGATTGTACGACAGTCTCGGGACTGTCTCCCTTATCTACGAATTTTTCTTTTATTCTTGGTACTCGACGTAGACCCGCCTTTAATTCCCGCGGGAATATCGTTCCATCCGTTCTGGAAGTTTAATTACTTGACCCAGAATACTTGGGCAAGTTGAAAGTAATCCGACCGTCGTTGAATCGTGTGCCGTTTGAAGACGGCGAAAAGCGTTTTAATTTAATGTCGAGCCGCGTCGTGATTTCGGCTTCGAGACGAACACGGTGCTGGCTCGTAGCGTTCATAAAAATTGATAAGAAGCGTTCCACTGGAGCGCGCTTGATTGTACCATTAAGAGATAACAAGTCGTCCAATGTATCGTGTAGAGAAGTACTGCTTGAAATTGAGAGAGAGGTCCGTCTGACTTACCGTAAGAATCGCGTTACGACCTCTTTTTTTTAATTTTTTTATTATTGAAAAAGATATATAAAAAAATACAAAGAGGGTGTTTGTTGGATAACAGGGACTTTTATTTTTCAGTGCCTTTCTTACACCATTTCTTCAAATTTACGATCTCAATTTCTCATTAGAGACAATGGCGACTCGTAGCGGAGATTTCAGAACTAATAGTCTAGATTCAAATCCAATTTAGCCGAGACTCAAACCGCGGTCCGTTGCAACCTAAATCTCTCGGTGACGCCGCTAGATGGCGCTGGCAGTCCGTAAGGCGGTCTTGACGGATCGAGCAGGTCAGTTGCGTCGAAGCGTAGTTCCAAAGTCTCCGCTACGAGCCGCCACCGTTTTCTACGGTAAGACCGAGATAGTAGAGTGATTTAATGGCGGAGCGGGCAGATTTGCTTTTCAAAGTAATGCAGTAGTCTTCGACTGACCGATTTTCTGGGGATAATGAAAGATTGGCCGATCATCGCGTCGTCTCATGTCGTATGGTATCATATATGGTACGTAACAATTGTCCGAATCACGAAGAGAGTTTTTGCAATACCGTCTCTTAGATACGGTAAACGTTGATCGTGAATGCTATTGCTCGAATACATGGCGGCGTTGTTTCCGAGCGAACAACGCTTACGATTTACATTTACCGTCTCTGAGAGACGATATTGCAAAAACTCTCTAATTTCAACACGCGCTCTCGTCGTTATCAATAACGTTCGCATTTCGTCAGCGACGATAACGCGCAGTGTCGTTGCTGATCCGGAGTCTTTGACACAATTTCCTTCGTTCCCGATACGTCCGCGCTCAGTCAGGGGTAGTTTTTGCCGCGTAAACATCCATCTCTAAACGGACTTTCTAGACATTACGTAAAGCGTCGTAATGTTCGCGACGATGTCTCGAGGCCGCTCGAGCGAGGAAACGCGCTTGTGCAAGTAGAAATGTGCGGCTTTTTTCTATCCGATTTTTTGCCACGTCGGACGACGACGGACGATTACACGACGCGCCTCCAATAATATCGGCGGGTTATTTTAACAGTCCGACGAGAGCGCGTTATCGGGGACTTTTGTCGTCTCTGTCGAATCCGCCGCGGGATAATCGCCGCGATTCAGCGGACGATAATTCTTCCCTCGTCGGCGCGCGCACTCGTCGTCGCCGTGCAACTTTGTAGCGAGGCAATAAAACTTGAATTTACCGACGGCAGACGCGAGGGGAGACCTCGTTTCCTTTCCCCCCCCCCCTCCCCTCGACAATTAGCCGGGTTATTTATAACCGAAGTCAAGCGCGCTTCTAAATCGCGCGTGAGTCTTCGAGACTCTCGAGGAAGGATCGAGCGGAGTGTGTATCGCGATAATCGAATGCAATGAATCATTTCATCTTGCGAGATTTACAGCGACGTGTCGTTTACCTCCTTCGCCGTGCAAACGGAAACGCACGTGCGTGCGTGCGTGCGTGTGTGTGTGTTTGTGAATAACACACACCGTATTCTCGTGTCTCCTGTTTTTGCATTCGTGCCACTTCATTCACGCACGGCCGATTTCGGATAATCGACGTGAGATTTACGGAGGTCACGCGGCCTCCGATCGGCGCGCACGTACACCTATATACG